GCTCGGCTGCAGGGGGTTGGCCTAACCCGAGGGCGCAGGGAATAAGGCATTACTGTCTCATTCCTGATGCGGCTGCGCACAGCAGGTGTCTTTTGAGCAGCACCGAGCTCTTTGGCTTTAAAAGTATTTCAACCGTATTGGATAATGCGCCGGCGGTCACGGTCAACCGTTGGTTGATCGGAGTGTGCGGTTTTTGGGGCCGTCCTTTTCTAACCCGTATTTCCTCGGGGGAAGGCAGCATCGCTGCTTCCATAAATATGGACATGCTGGTCGCCTGGGGGAAACACCTTACTGCCTTCACACTCCTGTCGCAGAGGTCAGTACGACTGTACCCCCAGACCGCCCTGTACCACGATTGCTCGTAGTACGGGGTCTCGCTGCTCTTGGTCTGGCTGCTCCCCTTTGGCCTTCCTGGCATAGTTGTACCTTGTGGAACGAAGTTCCAGGCAGTGTAGCCCGCGGGATCATTGCAGCACTCAAGCCCGACTACCACGTCAAGGTGGCAGCTTTAGGTCAGGCTCGAACAGGCCAAGTTCCAGCCATACAACAAAGCCCGCCAGCTTGATGCACACGTCCCTTGAGATTCAGGGATCCAGCACTTTGAGGCCATAGGTGTCTCGAATCAGCAAACCCGACCCAAGCCTAGCAGATTCGTGCATTGACCTCGTCCGTCCCATTACAGTCGGAACTGATACAACTTCCAAGATACGTAAAACGCTACACAAATTCCAGTGCCTCTCCCTGGATTGTGAATGACGTGTGCGGTGACTGCACGTCTACGAGCATGACCTTGCACTTTGTGGGTGCAAATTGCATATCGGGGGATGACTTTAGTCAGTTTATCCATAAACACTTGCGCCTGCTGTTCGAAGATGAGAATGCGTCAACTATATCAGCTACCGCCTTTAGATGCTTCGTTATCTAACCTCATCTTAGATCATCGGTGAATGGAACTGTAGCATGTATAACCAATGTACAACAGGTACGTGGTGCCAACTGCATCAGATGTTCGCCGTTGTCCTGCCTCTCGATTCCATTCGAAGGCGACCGTCTAAATGAGCCTCAACAGCGCCAAGCCTAATTATTTGCGCAATAAAATGACCACAAGCATATCTGAGATTTTAGCTTGTTAAAACAAGACAAATCGTCGTGAAACTGTCACTACTGGCGCAAGAAGATACAGTGAACAGGCGGTGATTATCGGCGCGTTTACGTGATACTTAGACGTGACCAAACAAA